TCACCTCCCACAGAAGGAAGCCCAGCTTCCCAAAGCCCCCACCTGCCCTGGCTCTGCGCACTTGCACTTGGGTGCTCTCTCCCGGACCCCCTCCGCCTCGCCGCTTCTTTCCCTTGTTCTGTGGGACTTCAGGGACATGTCACCATCTTCCTGATGTGACTGGGCTCCTAGCCTGTCCTTCTAGGTGTGGGGTGTGTCTTGCTTTTCCTAGTGTCCCCACTAACACAGAGCCCTCCGGACAGCAGAGGCTCGGTGAATGTGTGCGGATGAAGTGAGATGGTGAGCAGGGATCCTGTTGATTCACACTGATTTTCTCCTACTTTCTTAAATAACCCATGGAAACCCAATTAAACATAGGGATATTACACGTATAAAATGACAAACAAGAAGGGGTAAGAAGCAAGTTAATTATTTTTACTTTTATTGTTCTAAATCTTCCCTCATCTGTATCATTGCTAATTACTCTCACATTTCCCAAACAATTCTAATTGCAATTCCATATTATGTCATCCAGGATGACCAAAAAAAAAAAAAGAGAGAGAGAGAGAGAGAGAGATTTCAGTCTCCTTTACAGAAGAGGAAAACTGTTGTGTTTGAACTGGATAAGCATACACACGTTGTGATCACTGTCATTCACAAAGTTAGATACTGAAGCTTATTAAATCTTCTATTAATAGGAACAGCACTGAAAAACACCTACAGGAAACAAAGATCAATTTCCATGTCACCGTAAAGGACGGGAGGAGCCCAGAGATGCTGTACGCCGTGCCCCCCGAGCTGGCCCGGGCCCTCACTCCTTCCAAGGCTGACTGCTCGCTCTGCAAACACAGGGTGAAGGATGGGCTCCCTTCCTGCCCGGCAGGAGAAGCTGCTGGACAGGGGCCTGGAAGGAGCGCGGCTGCAAGTCTGGCTCAGGCCCCCTCTTCCTCATTGCTCACGGCCTCCTCAGACAGGGACGGGAAGGAAATGGGACCCTCACTGTTGAGTCTAAACAAATGCTCCAGGACTTGCAGCTTGCTGGTCTCCGCGTGGGCCCGGGGCCCCCACAGGAACTCGTGGCGAGCGGGATCGCTGTTGGCCACCTGCCGGTACTCCAGGTACCCCTCCTGCACCCACGCTTTGGTGATCAGCTCCCTGGGCTCCCCGTAGATGAAGTGCTCCCTCCCAGGATACACCCCCATGACACCGAGTGCTCCCCACACCTCTTCCTCAGGCACCCCCCCTCCCCCCAGGACGATGACACCCAGAAGTATCACCAGGAGGCCGTTCTTGGGCATGCTCTGCTCACCACCCTGCATCCCATCACAGGTGAGGCCCAGGGTGGGGACCAGGATGTACAAGTGCTCCTTGGGGTCCACCTCCTTCACATCCACCCCAAAGACCAGCTGCATGCACTCAGAGGCCTGGCTGAAGACCGCAGGGAAGTGGTCCTGGTATTCTCTGAGGATACTCAGCATTTCTGCCCTGGTGGTCGGCTGCTTCCGGTGATACTTGAGGAGCAGGAAGCTCACCAGGTCAGCCATCATTGAAAGCTCTGCACCTTGGCGCAGGGACTCGGCACCGGCAGAGTAGGAAGAGGAGACTGAGGAGGAGCAGGGGTACCGGGGGGATGCGGCCCCCTCCTGCTCAGCCTCCAGCTGCTGCACATCCACCAGGCCCTGGGCGTCTCTTGGGTCCTGAAGGTCTTCCACAGCCTGGCGGAGCTCACTCATCTGAACCAGGGACATAATGACAGGTGTTGGCAGCTGACAGGAGTCTGGGCAGCGGTGACAGGTGGGGACCCAGTGGCCTTGTGGGAGGACAAGCTTATCGACCTTCCCAGGGTTTCTAGGGCTGAACGAGGTTTACTTTGGTGTCCCATCTTTGTTGTGGGCGTGCGGGTCCCCTCACCCTTCCCTCGGGCCCTCACCTTGACTCCTGGGAGGACCCGGGACTCTTCTCTCTGTCGCCAAGGCGTGGTTCCTTCAGATAGGATCTGACCCGTCCTCTCACACCAAGGTCCTCACCTCCCTGAAAGCCGGGAGAGAAAGGAGAGGAGGCCCCTTCCCTGCTGTGATTCAGGACAAGGATACCTCTGGTCATTGACTTTGGTTTCTGTGCACAGTTCCTTGTTCACAGCTCCCAAAGCCCTTGGGATGTCCTCAGTGTTGAGAGTGATGAATGTGCTGTTTTTGTTTTTCATGTCAATGAGATGTGTTTGCAAAGCACCTAAAATGGGGCTGGTTGCCAGAAGAGCCAATCATGTGATTAAAAGTTTGGATCTTTTGGCCCCTCCCCAGCACCACCAGGGAGGGGAGAAAGGCTGGAGATTTGAGTTCAATTGCCAATGGCCAATGGTTTAACCAATCGTGCTTATGTAATGAAGCCTCCGTCAAACCCCAAGAGGATGGGTTTGGAGAGCTTCTGGGTTGGTGAGCAGGTAGAGAGCTGGGGCAAGTGGCACTGTCTGAGAGAGCGGGGAAGTCGGCCCCGCTCCCGCACACCTTGGCCCTAGCACCTCTTCCATCTGGCTCTTCGTGACTCATGCCCTTTATGTTCAGCTGGTGATCTAGGAAGTAATACGTTTGTCAGAGACCTGTGAGCCACTCTAGCAAATCAACCAAACCTGAGGAGGAGGGCGTGGCAACCTCTGGAGGTCTTTCAGAAGGACACGTCTTTCAGAAGGACAAGTAACAGCCTCGACTTGTCACCAGCGGTGGAAACCCAAGGAGGAGGGAGTTGGAATCCCCAACCTACAGCTGGCCATTTAGCAGCACAGGGAAGAACCTTGCCTTGCGGTGGGCTTCTGAAGTGGTGGGGGGAGGGCAGTCTTGGAGGACTGAGCCTGAACCAGAGGGTCTGATGCCATCTCTGGCTAGACGGTGTCAGAACGCAGTTGAATTCTTGAACACTCTGCTGCTGTCTGAGAACTGTTGTTGGTCCGGGGAACCTCTCCCCTACGTGGAAACTGGTCCCAGGATCCATTTACACAACATCCACCCCCAGCCCCCCGAAAAAACCAGAAGCACTGGCAGCGGGGATCGGCCCCTCTGCCCTGGGCGGAGGTGCCCTCAGTGCCTGGAGGCCATGCATCTCACTCCCGCCAGGGCCTGCTCTTCCCCCCTGCCCCCACCTGGGATGACGAGTTGACATCTGCCCGTCAGACCCAGACCTCAACTCCCTGAAGACTCCCACCTTCCCACCCAGGATGGAAGTGAGCACGGCACTTAGGGCCACCACTGACTGTTCCTTCCAGGGCTGGGAACACGGGTCAGCTGGACCCGGTGGGGTCCTTCCTCTCCTGAGATGGCGGGGTACATTTGGTCCTCACGGAGAGTCCTTGCCTTGACACGTGGGATATCCTAGGACCGCTCCCTCTGCTGGCCTGATGCTTCCCCTCAGACCAAGGTCCTCACACCCTGAGATACCCCACCCCCAACCACGTGACGGAAGTGATGGCAGGCCCCATCCGGCCAGACCTGACTGGGGACTCCTAGGGCTGAAACAGCTCAAGCCGGACACTGTAAGTTCCCATCTCTTTTGGGGTGAGGGTCTCCTCATGCCCTGCATCCACCCAAAGGGTCCTTTTCCTGAGCCCTGGCACATCCTGTGAGTCCTTCTGCTGCTGACCGGTTGTGGCTCCTTCTGCCAACCTCAGAACTAGGTCTGAATTCCCTGAGAGCCTGGGGCAGAGGTGAGGGGGCAGCACCATTGGCCACTCCTGCCCAGGGACTTCAGGGATGACAGGGGGCAGGGCCGGATTCTGTGGGCTCGCTCTCTACTCTCAGTATCAAGACATTCACATTTACGCCCAGCAAGTCCTGGAACCCTCCCCTCCGCTAACATGAGGTTGTCCCCTGCAGGCCGACACCACCATCGCACTGAGTTTGAGGATAAAGTGGGGAGGTGATGCCTCCTGACTTACACCCGGGCCTCCCAGGAAGGACCAGAGGAGCAAGTTTCTGTTGAGGCCCCCTCTACCTGGGGAGGGGGTCTGCCCAGTCCTACTGGGGGTTCCGGGGAGACCACCCTCTGCACATCTGAGCCACACTCCTCAGACCAGGGACTTCACCTCCCAAGGACCTCTGAGTAAGAGGTCAGAAAACATCTCACCTGGTCACCCTGCTCTGGGGCCTCCAAGACCCAGCACAAGGGCAAAGGCTCCCTCACGGTCCTCACATTGCCCCCTGGTAATTTAGGATTCTGTCCTCTGCCCATCTGACGCCCCGCCCCTCATACCAGGAGCCCTGTCCCTCTGAGACCGGGATGTCAGGAAATGCTGCCTTTGGTCATCCTGCCCTATAGCCCCCCATGGCCGACTCTGTTCCGGGGTGCAGGGTCTCTTGGTCCTCCCTCAGGGTCCTCACCTTGACTACCAGGGGGACCGGGGATACCCTGCTCTGCATACCTGAGGTCCCCCCTCCTTATATTAAGGCCCCAGTCTCTCTGAGACCCGGATGGGGAAGTCGAGACACCAAAGAGCAACGTGTGCTCATCTCGCCCTGGGGCCTCCCAGGGATAAAAGCAGGGGCAGGATCGGTTCGGCGGGTCCCCACTGATCTGGGGTCTCTGGTTCCCTCAGTCCTCCCTCAGGATCCTCACCGTGACGCCAGGCAGGAACGGGGATTCCCACCTCAGCCCATCTGAGGCCCCGCCCCTCAAACCTGGGCCCCATTCCCTCTGAGACGCGGATGTCAGGAAATGTGCCTGTGGTCATGCCACCCTATGATCTCCCAGGAACGACTCTGTACTGGGGTCCAGGGTCCCGCAGTCCTCCCTCACAGTCCTTGCTCACTGTCCTGACAGGCCCTCCGCCCTGCGTTTCCCAAGCTGAGGCTTCGCTCCCCACAGCAGCGCCCCAGTCCCTCCGAGGCCCGGATGCGGAAGTCCCGGCACGCTGCCGTGGGCTCGTCCGGCCTGAGGCCTCCGAGGGCTGACTGCCGGGGTAGATATCTTGGGGTCCCCTCAATTCTGGAGTCCAGGGTGTCCCCAGTCCTTCCTCAGGGTCCTCACCTCGGCGCCCGGCAGGAACTGGGATTCTCTCCTCAGCCCACCCGAGGCCCCGCCCCTCAAACCAGGTCCGCAGTCCCTCTGAGACCCGGATGTCAGGAAATGCTGCCTGAGGTGATCCGGCCCCATGACCTCCCGGGACCGACTCTGTGCTGGGGTCTCTGGTCCCCTCAGGCCTCCCTCAGGGTCCTCACCTTGACGCCCGGCAGGAACTGGGATTCTCCACTCTGCCCCCTTGAGCTCCCCCTCCTTGTACTACATCCCGACTCCGTCTGAGACCCGGATGCGGAAGTCAGGGCACGCTGCCATGTGCTCATCAGCACAGGGCCTACCAGGGCTGACTGCAGGGGTAGATAGCTTGGGGTCCCCTCTATTCTGGAGTCCAGAGTCTCCTAGATCCTCCCTCAAGGTCCTCAGATTCACTCAGGCGGCATGGAGCCTCCCTTCAGCCCACCCGAGGCCCCGCCCCTCAAACCAGGTCCGCAGTCCCTCTGAGACCCGGATGTCAGGAAATGCCGCCGGTGCTCACCCTGCCCTGTGGCCTCCAAGGTGCAACACTGTCCCGGGGTGCAGGATCCCTCCGTTCTCCCTCGGGGTCCTCACCTTGACTCAGGCGGCATGTGATCTCCCCTCTGGCCACCCGAGGCCCCGCCCCTCATCCCAGGACCCCCGTCCTTCCGAGACCCGGATGTCAGGAAGTCAGGACCCCACGAGTGCTCATCCCACCCAGGCCCTCCCAGGGCTGACAGCAGGGGCGGGGATCTGTGGGGCCCCTTCTGTCCTCCCTCAGCGTCCTCAGCTTGAGCCCCATCAGGTCCTGGGACGCCCCCTTGTTGACCCGAGCCCACACCCTCACACCAAGGCCCTCACTGCCCTGAGACCCCCCAGGGGAGTCTCTGGACTCACATGAGGCCACCAGGCCCAGGGCTTCCCAGGACTGTGGACGCCAGGGGCTGAGATGGATTCCATGGGTTCCCTCAGCCCTCCCTCTGCTCCTCACCTGGACTCCTGGCTGGGCCTGGACACC